CTCCCATGTCTTCCCATTCCAGTTGACGCATGACGTTCTCGAGAGCGGCACTGAAGATTTTGGGCAATATGGTAACGCGCTGTCATCCCTTCTCTTTTGTTCTATGAAGACCTTCACGTAAAAAAGGAATCCAAGTCGTCATGTTGCTATGTAGCTCAAGGAGGATCCCTATTTTCTAACCATAGGAATGAACGCCTTGGTTGATCAAGACTTCAATGATCACCTCTGTCGATGGCCTTATTTTAGATAATGAACGCGAAAATTAGCGGCATCTCGTACTCTCTCGTAGAACTTCAATGAGTACTGTACCCGTGTGTATGCGGTGAACTGTGCTGAACTCTAATTGACACCGTGCTTGCTCGGTCCCGCATACAGGGTTATGCCCTGTCAGTGTAGACATCAAACTTTGGCTATGCTCCTCACTAATTTCATGACCACTGTACCAATGCAGAATACATCATTTCAAGGCTCCACTGCACTGACAAGAGAGATAAAGCAAGATTTGGTTAAGTGCATCCAGATCAATTACCCTACAGTGAAGCGTGCTGGCAGTGATAGCCTTTGTTTTCCAAGTGATCAATACTGTTCCATGATACACGGGCACCGTTGCTTCAGAGATGAACAGTAGTTGAAGCGCGCTGAATTCTTCTCCTCCCTCTGCCCTTGTGGTTAGGAGAGACGTTTGTGGTTAGCAGAGGCGCTTCACAATTTGCAATTAAGAAAGGGTCGCACCGACGTACAGCGTGAGCAGTAATGTGAATACAGTAATACATACATTTCGAAAAGGTTGAATACTAAGGGTGAAGGCTGTTCATTTAATGGCGCATATAGAATGAAAAATACGCTTGATTAATTGAAAAGAAGTAGGTGTTCAGGTGGGCGATGTGTGGTACATGTATGACATGTGGCAGTCTAAAGCGAAGTAACAGGGCCTCATGAAGCCCCTGGATTACCCCTTCTCACATTCCGAGCAGTAGCAAAATGACCATTCCTGTTTGCTTTATTCATTAGTGAACACCTCCGCCAACGCTTCCGACTAACCGCCAGATCGATGCCTTCAGAAAAGTAGCTGCTAACAACTAGTCATTTGATGGCAGTAATCAAATTGCCTTCGATCATTTGACTGCATTTCATCGTCTTCTTGACTTCTAGGCGAGTCAAGCAATAGAGTATATTTAGATACTAGAAATCAATAATATTGCTCCAATGGGTGTTCCTGAATTTCTATCTATAATGCAAGCCGAACAAGATACCGTAAGTGTGATTCGCATTGATACTGCTTCTGCCATTCGGTGGTGCTTAAGGTTCAAGATCTTGATAAGGAATAGTTCTGCAGTACGCAAAGATTTTTCTTTGTCACGTGTTTTATCCGCGAAACAGACGCGGTGTATTGTAGCAGGAGGTCACTGCGCGACGTCGCGCCCACTTTTGGCACCCATCTGCGAGCCTGCAGATGGGTGCCAAAAGTGTGTGGTGCAATGGTCCAAGCAACTGGGCGGCATTTGCGAGCGCAGTTGTAGCCGCTGAAGTTTATAAGGCCGGAATATGAGACCGGAGTGTGGGAACACGATACATACAGGGGTGGCCAAAAAAAGAGACACTTCACTCAACATTCAAAACGGAATTATTTACGCGTTGCGAAACCAAACCAAATGACCCCAACTGAATATTGAAGAGCACGTTATAATCTATCAACAAGCTACACAACAGCCTTCTACACCGACGACATCAGAAGATTTTCCCACGGAAACATGGTTCACGGTACGAGCTCAACGAGGTCGTCGAGGTACCATAGACCATTACGACGTCCTGAAACGCTGGTCAAAAGCGGTCTTGCATAGTCACAGCTAGTGTCTCTGGGAAGCTATTCACCAGTTAATCCATTGAAGAAATTATGTAGCAGCTTCAGGCCGGAGCGATTACGGTAAGCCTCGTTGAGCTCGACGGTGACGGCAGATGACGTCATATTCTGAAGACGGCGGGGGCAGTGAAGGAGGGCCTGCTTCTGTTTACGGGGGAACACCTAAGGAATATTCTGCCGTAAAACTTTCATTAACATCGGCTCCCTGTGCGACGAAAAGTTCGATGATGTGCGCCATGGGCTAAGTGTCTTTTTTGGCCACCCTGTATGTGGTGCGTGCTGGCCGTGGCACAACCACTGACAGAAATGTAGTCTATTCCCATTTGGCGCATGAATTCGAGCTGGTCGTACAATGGTGAGTGGGGTGCGTATCAGGTCTCCCGACTGTGTCAGGTCGGCTCGCCGCACGCGGCGACCCATTTTTCCAAAACCTTAGGATAAAATCGATACGATGCAATTTATTGGATGCTGGGTAATTGTATTACAGCGTAGTTTTCTTAGTTCTTCGCAGAACTTGATCCTATGTCCATAATTGTAAGTTATTGGAGCTATGCCACGCCCAACATGTTACTAACACGATTAAGTTGTACTCAACAGGTACATATGATTATGATTATGATTTATTATTGATTGTAAAAGCAAACACAACAAAGCAAGTAACATGTTTATGTTTGTTTAACACGTATTTATGTGTCCTTTCTTCGAATAGATGTGGAAGAGGATGAAATGCACAGATTATGACAGGAGTGTCTCCTTCCCCGAATTACAAGGGAACACATTGGAAGGTTTTCATTTTAGATAATGATACGATAATGATATATTGATAATGCAATACATCTCGTCAAGAAACTTAGACCACTTTCTCTGTCACTAAGCATGGCGTCCTGCGGCTGGAAATTCATGCGGGGAGGAAAAAATGAGAATTCCTGGGCAATTTTCGTTCTCCCTGAAGTTTCTGCCCTCCTATCCTAGTCTAGAGGATGCATATCTTACAATAGCGTCGTTCTTTATTCTGGAACTTTCTTTGAAGTGACGCTTCAAGAAACATGAAGTTAAGCGGCAAAACGAAGAGGATAAAGGATAGGAAAAGGTAAAGGAAAAAACGTGGACGGATGAGAGTATGCAAAACTCGCCGCGCCCACAGCCAATCGGCCGCGCGCGAGGGGGCGTGGCCGCCGCACTGCGGCGTCGACCTGACATTGTCGGGAGACTTGATCGTCTCCCCGGTGAGTGTGACGCCGCGAGGTGACCTCTTGTTACACACATCGGAGCACGGCGAATATGAGATCTCAAACGACGCACGTGATACCAGTGGCACACCCTGGCCTATACATACCTTTTGCTGCATGGAACTGCGTTTTTTTGCTACTCTGTTCCGCTAAGAACTACGACACGCGCAAATGGCGGCATGGAAAAATTTTGAAAATTTTTGCAGTTTCTGATAAATCTGTGTCCTCGCTCTCGCGTTACTCCTCATCATGCCCCATGCCCGATCGGACTTTCGCTCTATTACTTGTGAGTGTTGGAAGGGGGTCACGTGTCACGTGGTACCACATCGGACGCCTGAGGTGTTCCTGATGTGGCTTCCCACCGCCACTAACATTCCCCACCACAAAGCTCATTAAACAAATTCTACACATCTCAGCTTTTCTTTAGTCAAGCTTCGAGAACATTTGCCCAGCCCTCTTTCCCGAGAATGACTTGCCCCTTCTACAACATACGTACCCTCAATTCCATTGTCGCAATTCCAGTAAAACCTCAAGGACGATAGTAAAGTTCCACAGACTGGAAGTCAAAGGTGATGATTATCAGTCATTTCCGGCGAATAATATAAGGCCAGACCGCGAGAAGAACGTACCCGATTAGAGAACATTCTCATATTACTTGCCAAAATCGCATCGTTCATGAACTTGATCTCTGCATTGCAATGTCTCATGGGCGTAGGTTTTGCCACTGCACCGCAAAGCGTTTCTGTTTTGCGTTGAAAGAGTTGCAGGGTAGAGGGCAAGGTAATAACCTGTAGTAGCAAAACTTCAGGCATCCAGGAGCATTGGCCCTGTGACCGATGCAATGTCAACGCAAACCCACTCCGTCAATTAACATGTCCGTGCTACGGGGTCATGGCCAGAATAGTTGGACGAGAGGTGAAATGCTCCCATGCTTAAAGGAAGCTATAACACGATCAATAAGTGGAACACTGCAGGGGACAGCTGATCACCTTATTGGCAGAAAGTTATCAATATTATCGATAGCTCCAGTGGCACTCTCGCCACCAGTTCTCTCCCCATCTAGTACCGAATCCCCTTCCTCGCCGCTCTGCGCTCCTAGTGAGTACAGAGATGGTAGACACGCACATGGTCGCGCTCATTGCATCCAACATGTGACAGGCAGAGAAAGGGGAAAGTCCATAGGGATGCAGCACTTTTCCTTTCACTGCCGGGCTCGCGGTCTGGGCTCAGTATCACCTTGTTGTTTGGCCACTTATGCGTGTGGCCTAGACCTCGTACTCTGCCTTAGTTCAGCGTGAGTTTCGCCCCTTTCTCAAGAATTTCTAGAGCGGACGAAGGCGAGGTCAACGTGACCTCGTGGTTCTGTGCTGGGGACTTTACGACCGTCCCAGATGCGATCCCACCTGAAAATCACCTGTAAGATCTCCATGGTTGGATTTTTCGGACGGACGGTTGACCGCGTATTGAACTCAACAGAGTAGATCGATAGCTACGGAAGGATTCCATGAATTCAAATGTACCAAAATAACTGATCAAAGATTATCGCAAGAAGGTTATCCTCTAGGATAAGGCATAGGACGGAGCAGATCTCAGGGGAAAACGAATATAGTTCATGCACTTCAGTTTCCTCACCCAGTTAGGGATTATTCCTTTTTTTGACAAAAAAGAACCATTCAAGGGGTTTCAAATGCACTACCACCACAGTGCCCTCGCATCGCGATTGCGATAACGTCTTAATCGATTCACTTATTTCTAGGCATTACTTCAAATCTAAGCTTCTTGGCTATGAGCCCGTGTAAAACTTAAATAATGACGATAATCATGCAGATGACAAAGTACACAACCTCAAGCTTCAGCTTAAGTTGTCAATACTTCGAGCATGGAACGTTCAACCTGCGACGGAAGCAAGAATGGCATGGGTGAAAAAGCAGGACAATTATTCCTATTTTATTGTTGGTGAGTGTGCCCTACAGAGACAGAACTATAGCGATGATCATAGAAATTGTTTAGAAGTTCATCGATTCAAGAATTTTCGCAATGGCTTTGATGTTAAATTTATTAATAAACAATGTCATGTTACAAAGGTAACAAGGAGAGGCCTTTCTTACATTAGCATTACGGTATGCGAGAACGCAGTAATTTCTGTTCAAGGTCGAAAGCAATAGCCGTGGAGGGCATGCTTTCTTGAAAGGCGACCGACTGTTGGATGTTGACTCTATACCAGTAAGTTCACGTTGGTTATGTTGTAATAATCTGGTGCTTAGAAAACTATCAAGACGCAAAAACGGCAGTTACGAGGGTTATCAATTCTATTTTTGAATTCAATTTTTTATTAAAAGAGAGCTACGTTTATTTTGAGAGGCCACAATATCGATCGGTTCACTAAACCTCATCCCCGCAAGCCAAGACTCCATTCCCCCTCTTGGCGGCTTGCTTTCAGACATGTATGTATGAGAGAAACAAGAAACTTACTCGCATTAACGAGCGACTGCTAGCCCTCAAATCATCTTGTATGCCGCATCACCTACAATGACCGCCTACTATTCTGACTGATGAGGAATGCCTGGCGCATCCTAAAAAGGCCGTGGTCAGCAAAAGCCTTTTGGTTCTCTGTTAGCAGTTTTAAATTGGACGGATGTTTTTAGACTGTTCTAGGAATACAAAAACCCCGAAATTCTATTCAGGTTCACCGTGTACTCTGCAAAAATGGGCATATCACGGGTTCAAATATACTGCCGCGAATGCGACGATGGCCGCCGGGCGCATATCGCGCTATTGGCCCATTTGTTCATGCACTCGGATGTCAATATGCTCATTGAGCCATTGGCTACGCCCCTACGGTTGAGGCCAACATTCAATTGCCATTGGACACCAACCACTAGTCGGTGACTCTAAAAGCTATTTGCCACATTAACTCACCACTCCCTGTGGTCCACAAGAGGTGGTGAGATGAGCGCTAGTTCTTATTTGGCATGTAGTTGTGTGTGTCAAGGGCAATAGAGCCAAATAACTAGCCAGCCAAACACTAGTAAGTATGCCTGAGCTTTCGGAAAGTAGATTCACCTACCGACTGGCGCCCCTGTGTCTCCGGAGGTTTTGACCCACTTCTGCAAGGTGGCTAATTTAGCCCACTGCTTTTTTATAACTCTTCTAGTGTAATTTTGCTGTTGTGAACGTACTTCTAAGCCTTGGTATCTTTTTATGGGACTTTTTAAATTTCCAGATAACAGCCTCAACCGACCTGAAGTTCGTTCGAAGGACGTTCAATAAAGTAATGGCTAAGGAGAAGAAATGCACCTTTCTTGTCGAAAGGGTTAACTCCTTACGAAGCAGTCCAAATCCAAGTTGTTTTGCGTTAACGGTATGCACATACTTTATGTGTATTTCGCAAAGAACATATGAAGAGGATCGCTCCGTTTCGCAGATTATAGAACACTTTTTCACGACTATTGGAGAGGTAATAGTAAATGGACGCGGCCATTGGCACCCACCTGAGCAGGGTAGGTATGCGCCAGGGGATCCACATCGCGACAACTCTTGCAAGTGTTATCCGCGTGAAGAGTTTGTAATGAAAAAGGCACTGGCCAACGAAACATGCAACCGCCAAAGTATGACTGCTGGGTGTAGATCTACTATATAAGTGATCAGGATACTTCTTCATACTTTCTTCCGTACAACAATCGCAGGTGGTTCCCAGCACCCAGACTTCCAATTAAAAATGGCGATTAGGCGGTTATGGGTTCGAGGTTTGCGCAATAGAATAGGTTAGAATCACTGCTCAACCACTTTCAAAAGGCACGACCCAGAATCGAAGTGATGTGGTTTGCGCACGAAAAAAAGCACCATCACATAGTGAGCTTCCTTCAAATAAAGGAAAAAACCATCGCAAACGTTCATTAGCATTTATTAAATTGAGGTAAGGGTTCGCTAGCTTTTGTGTGAAGGCAATGAGAGACTGAGCGCTGAAAGAGAGGGTTGGCGATAGAGCACAAGGGATGAGAGAGCACCAGACAACAGCACAGGGAAAAGGGAAGCAGTCGAAGTGTTTTTTGTAAATCTCTAGCGCCCTTGTTGTGTACTTTGAAGCTAAGAAAACGGACTCTGCGAGCTTCCTGAACGCTCTGCCTATCCACCAAAAGCGTTTATCCATCCAAACTCATTCTGGGAGTGTCTTTAGCGCGAATGTGCTACGGTAGGTAGAAGAATGACTTCTGCGCACTGCCACAGTCTGATATTTCTGACACACACCACTTTAGGCTTTCAAACTTTGCTACTGCAAATTATCGGTCCAGCTTGTCGAAGTATGATTGAATGATTACCAACAACAAAGCAAAACGGGTTCCTTTTTTTGAAGGGTGTGCGAAAGTGGAGAAAAGAAATAGCTTTGAAGAAGGACCGACGCCTACCCCACTTTCATGTGTTGACTGGCTTCTCCTTCTCCTGGAATATACTCGCGCTTATTCTAGCCTTTCTAAGCTTTCGCCAATCGGCTTGTGCAAAATAGTGCCACTTCTTTTCGTTGTTTGGCGCATGTTTTCGAGTTGGCGCATACTTTCGAGAACTGAGTAACATGTGTTAAGAGGGAGGATTTTGAAACTGAAATGGGCGATGATGCAACGGAAATCGGATGTCGAGAAGCTATGCGTCATCTACTCCTTCACAAGAAATACGTAGGATTTGAAATTTGAAGTTGTAAAAGCTGCTAAGCCTGAGTTTCTAAGGAATTTGACCAAGAAATTTGTTTCGATTGATTTAGCGCCCAGTCTCCGTTCTACAAGGTCCTAGTTCGAAAACGATCGAAACAGCATGTGAGGACGAAGAAGGAAGACGTAAGACGAAAATCATATTGAGTCAAGTACAACCCGCTCAACAATACAGGGTTTTCCACACCAATTCGCAAACCTTGCATTCAGTTTCGGGGTAGCTGTAGCCCATTTCGTGAATGTGAAGCCAACTGGTGCGGAGGAAAAACGAATTGGCTACGAAATTTACGATTGAGGTGGAAAATTCTGCATCAAACGATTCCTTTCTTAGCATTTCGTATTAAAGGATAAAGGATAACAATTCCGATAGCCACGAACAAATACGCGAGACCGGAGTCAACCGTCCGTTGTCCCAACTCCAAAAAGAGAGTGTAGACACGCCCTCCCCCCCTCGTCTTTTGCCCAACTACCACCGCGGCTGCTTCTGTAATTGACACTGAAACGACACACAGATCAAATCCGCATGCATTATTCGATTTTTCAGGGATGGGGAAGCAGGTTCAACGAAGGAGCAAATCCCCGACTTTTTGTTCATTTCATGAATTGTTTGCACTATTCATTGAATTACCTGTCCCTTCAACTCCGAAAATACGACTCTCCCCTTTTTCATCCTTTTGTCCTTGACTCCTAACCTCAAATACGACCCTCTCTCCAGCAAACTCGAATCACCTCTCCGCCTTGAAAAGTGCGCAACACACAGTGGGAAGGAATTCGCGCCTTAGTGTGCCACATACCAGTCTTGCGCCATGTCATCCTTCTTCAAGTTTGTTCAAGAGAACCCAATTGCTTTTCTCGACAACGCCCCCAGAAGCCTTTGTGGTGAATTCTCAGTTTGAAAGTTGATTCTAGAAAAAAAGAATGCGGGGAAGTGTATATACAGTTTCCATGAATGGTTTTTCAAGCCACCTCAGTAAATCTAGATATCACAGAAAACAGCTTTTTAGCAAGAACGAGAAGGCGGAAGAGGTTCCAGAATAGAAGAATTGCCATTGACGTAAGCGAGTTTCTGAAACAATACTGGTCTGCTCTTTAACGATAATCTTTGCAGACAAGAATCGAAACGCTACGAATGCCATCAGATGTGAAAGATGAGTCGATTTTGCAAAAGGTAGGTTTTACGAATTTTTGTACGGAATAATGCCTTCTCAAGTGATTCGTTCAGAATGGCTCAAATCAGTCTTCTTCTGATTCATGTATCTCTTTCCCAACTCTTTCATGTTACTTCTCCTTGACTGTCAAAGTTATCTCCCACAGCTATTTACGTATTCAGAAGGTGAACGTAGTGGGGGTTGAGCGATTGTAGCAGACATACAAGGGGTGAATCGGCGCCTGCTGGAGGTTTCATGCCACTGGCAGGTTGCTAATCGTCGTGTTCTGAATGCAAACATATTTTGGTATGTTTTGCAGGTGACACCAAAGAGTGGAATAATAAAGTTTGTACGGAGCGTCATTTCTCGTTGAAGAATCACACCCATTGACATACGTTAAAAATGAAGACAAATAAACATTCTTTCTACCAAAATAAAATTTGACGAGTCTATGCTTGTTGCTTGTACACAATACAGTGCATTCATTTTTATTATTTACCGGATTCTCTGTACAAGAAAAGAACAAAATACATGTTTTTGAATTTTTCCGAATTCCGGAGTTTTGTTAAAAAATTCACTTTGTACAAGTTTGTCTACAAAGTAGTCAAGGTACTTCATCAAAATGGTGACCGAGACGGTCCCTGTTTGAATGACAGTTGATGCGCCATGTAACAATGAAGCGAAGGAGAATGAATTTACCCTGGATGGGATAGTGACCTCTTCCGAAGCTTTAACCTAATCCCGGGCTTCAAGAAAGGGTTGATGCTGTGTCTCATTGTGGGATTCCTGAGGAATGAAGGGCCGACGCTTTTTCATGAACGCACTTATCAGCGTCTCAATTTGCAGGAAATGAAGTGGTTTCTCAACGGAACCCATATTATGGCTGATACATATTAATGAATTGGAATCAACGCATTCGACTAAACCAGGAATAACAGCAGTCTTCATTCTTTCGAATTGATCCGGGTTGGCTAAGGTAGATCTATTATTTGCTGAATCAACGGATGCATGCACAAAATGAATTGATTCTAATCTAATCCTTCTATTATATAAAGCGCTAACTTTGTGTGTCGGTTTGTATGTATCTGTATGTGTGTGTATGTATGTATGTATGTCCGTCTGTCCGTCCGCAAAATGAAGTGAGTGAGAAGGAAGCTCATGGGATAAACAAACCGCTAACAAATCGGGTAGCTCACAGGACTTGAGTATCAAATGTTTTGTAGCAGGATAATTGTGATAACACTCCTACGGCTATATAAAACTCCCACTGAGCACACTTCCGGTCATTCCACATGGTGCAGAGGAAGTAAAATAATCAAAATAGTAAAAGTAAAAAGTAAAAAGAAGTAAAATATAATTCGCTAAGTATGTCTGTGCGTGTGTGTATGTGTGTGTACGTCTGTTTGTCACGAAATTCGTAGCTCGGGTCACAGCAATGATAGCGCCATGGTTCTTACATATGTTATAGGGGGTGGGATGGGGACACAAGTGGTATGTGATAGGAACTGATAACGACTGATATTAGGTTGGAAAGAAAGTTCTGCAACACTCTTTCCAAAATTTTCTTTTTTTCTGAAAAATTCATAGGTAACATTTATGACTACCAAATGATAGAGCATTCTCAAGGCTTCAATCCACGAGGTGGATATAAGTTCTGCAGTCAGTAGTTATCCAAGAAAATTCAAAAAATCTCGACCACTAGCAAATCCGTACTCCGAGTCACTGTCTAGTACAAATGTCTACAAAACCATGGATTCGTGTCAACGACTGACACTATCTGCAATAGCTTCTAATGGCATGCCGTTCAGCGATACAGCGTGTTTCACCTTTACCAGCGCTTCCGATCTTTTGATATTTTTATAAGAAGCCAGCAGCATCCCTCACACTCCATTACAGGTAGGGCTCTTACAGAAGCTCCACTACATACCCTTCGTTATGGGCACCATTGTGTAGGCAGTGGCCTAGGTTGTGAAGTACCAGAAGCTGGCCGAGGTAGCTCGTCAAGAGCCCTCGTACCGCGACAATATTCATTTCTTTCATGACATTGCGAATCACCATGATCCGAAATGAGCCCGGTAAGAAATTCTGGAGTTGCGGCAAGATTTCTTTCCTCTCTTAGCGTAATCCCCTGGTCGAGCTGTAAATAAGTGCTACCTATCCTGGACCTTTAATCATCATCTTTATAACGAAATAATCAGACGATCAACTCCAACTCGAAAGTGAGGTCGCCTCCTTTCTCGACTCGCACTCCGCTGGGTTTTGGCAAAGGAGCATCAAGAAATTTTCTGAGCGATTGGAGACAAGTGGTGGACACTCATGGTAGATATAAGACCGGTCAGGAGTTGTAACCAAAAAAGATAAAATTAAAATCAAAAATTTGAAAAAGTGTTGCAGGACTTTCTTTCCAACCTAATAGCTGGTAAGGAGGGGCAAGAAAGCGAGCATCACCAATTTCGTTTTGTCGTTCATATTGGTACTAGAGCGTCTATACTTACAAGTGTTATGTGGGGTGGTCCCGGGACATTGGTGGTACATGAATGAAAGCGATAGCAATTGATAAGGGCTGATAAGGGGCGTCAGAACGCAAAAGTCGTCAATTCCGTTACGCAGCGTTGCGTTGACACTAGGCGTCCATATTGCAAGGTGTTATGTGGGGTGGGACGGGGACATTGTTGGTGGTGATGAAAAGTGTTTACTGATAAGGGCTGATAAGGGGCGTCAGAACGCAAAAGTCGTCGATTCCGTTACCTAGCTCGCGTTGACACCAGAGCAACCATACTCACAAGTGTTATGTGGGGTGGGACGGGGACATTGGTGGTACATGAATGAAAGCGATAGCAACTGATAAGGGCTGATAAGGGGCGTCAGAACGCAAAAGTCGTCAATTCCGTTACGCAGCTTGCGTTGACACTAGAGCGTCCATACTCGCAAGTGTTATGTGGAGTGGGAGGGACATTGTTGGTGGGTGATTGAAAGTGATTGCAACTGATAAGGGCTGATAAGGGCGTCAGAACGCAAAAGTCGTCGATTCCGTTACCCAGCTCGCGTTGACACCAGAGCAACCATACTCACAAGTGTTATAAGGGGTGGGACGGGAACATTGTTGATGGGTGATTGGAAAGTGATAACAATTTGATAAAGGCTGGGTGATTGAAGCGATAACAATTGATAAAGGCTGATAAGGCGCATCAGAACGCAAATTCGTCGATTCCGTTGCCCAGCTCGCGTTGGTACCAAAGCAACCATACTCACAAGTGCAGGGGTGGGACGGGAACATTGGTGGTACATGAATGAAAGCGATAGCAATTGATAAGGGCTGATAAGGTGCGTCAGAACGCAAAAGTCGTCAATTCCGTTACGCAGCTTGCGTTGACACTAGAGCGTCCATACTCGCAAGTGTTATGTGGGGTGGGACGGGGACATTGTTGGTGGGTGATTGAAAGTGATTGCAACTGATAAGGGCTGATAAGGCGCGTCAGAACGCAAAAGTCGTCGATCCCGTTAGCGCTGACACTAGAGCGTCCCTACTTACAAATTCTATTTGTAGTGGTACGTGCACATTGTATCATTGTATGACCAGCTTACTTAATAGCAGTCTATTGCATAAACTCAATCAAGTCTTCAGCAAATGATAACTTTCATTTCTATCAAGAAAGCCCAAACTCATTAAACCGCTAATCCTTTCGGGGTTCTAAATAATGGTGAATGTAAATAAATGATAAGCCTTAGCTCCTCACTTATGTAAATAGGCATATTTCATTTTCATTTTGAGACTGACAGCAATCCTATTCACCGCTAAATTATCTGAATTCAAGAAGAATGCTGGATTTTACAGTTGTGAGATAAATATGCCAGTTCAGCTCCAGACGTTATCACGCGTATTCTCGATGGACTTCAGCGAAACTGGGAAAGGTCTAACACATTCAATAGTGAGGTGGTTAATGGAGTACCTCATGCTGATATTCCATGGGTCCTCCAGTTTCGCTAAAGCCTGCCGTGTGATGCGCGCGATAGCGGGCGGAGCAAAACTGGTTGGCTACACAAACCTCTACCGAGCAAACTCACGGTCATTCCACGAGTGCTGCAGTGGCAGCCGGAGAGCAAGGGAGGAAGAAGGGGAGGATAAGGAGAGGGGGAGGAACGCAAGGCTTACGCAGGTGAGGGAGGTTCCTGCGGTTGCCGGGAGGCCAATCTGGTACTATAATATTCAAACAAAAAGGCGTAGACAAGAGAACAGCCTCACGGAATGAACTGCTCTGATTCAATGCCGTGAATTCTGAAGATCATCGAATCACGATACGTACTTTTAGCACGTAGCCGCGGTGGACCGCTTATCGGCTGCTCGGCCCTTGCTTCCAAGTTTCACACCAACGACTGTGCTGTGGGAGACGAATGTTAGGCAGGTGAACGTCCGTTCTAACTTTTGAATCCTATATTACGTCGGATCGTCCAACACTGAGAATGTTCGCCTACTACCAAATCAATGGGAAGTGCAGATTATGTCGCACAACACCAAGTGCTAGTCCAAAAGGTAAAGGAAGACGAAACGCTCCATCGTTCTTATAATACTGATCGTAGCCTTATGGATTCAAGAGTTGCAAATGACGACGGATATACTTAAAATGTATTATCTTTGCAGGATTTAGGATTCTATTGCGGTGGTTGTTCAACATAAAGGTTGTTTTGAAGGTTAAATTGGAACTGACATAGGCGAAAAAGGTTTCCTCTAGTGGTCATCAGAGTAAGTGCGCATGCACCAAGATCGACTCCACCTCACGGACATATTTTTCGCATCGCATTTCTACATCTCTATGAACAAATTCGAAGGCATTGCTCGGAATGCCCTCTATCTTCTTCATGAGAGCGTCGCGAGAGAAGTCGCGAAGAGATGGCGCACCTCCAATTGCCTCTCATATCGGATAGAATTGGCATGGCTATACGGCAGTGCATTGCCGGGGCGGATCTAGCAGATGAAGTCGTTTTGATTAAAGCCACGAGTCAGGCTCAGTGGACCAAACCAATCACTTTAGTCGTCTATGTGCATGGCTACGCACCCACAGGGACGTTGCCATGCTCAGAATCTCAAAAGGCGCCGTAATAACGCCCCAGGGCATGCATTAAGCGCTCGCGCCGCCTGGAGGCGCTCCGGCCGCCCACCATGGGATGTGGTGCGTGGCTGGCATAACGTGTGAAATCAGCTAGGTTGATTGCCGTATCAACCGATAGAACGACTGATATCTTCCAGAAAACTTGTTTGTACGTGCCTCTTTCCCAAGCCAGCCTCCTTCACTGCTAGTGGGAAAGAGGGTTTTGTTAACGGCCTTGTCGACGGTTTTTCTCAGTTTTTTCTCCACTGTCGTTCCACTTCGCATCTCTATACTCAGTTTCAATCGCCATAATACCCCCTTATTGAGCCCGACTTTTGCCTTTAAATACGGAGTATAATCTTAACGTCAGCTAATCCGTCAGCTAACGAACTAATCCTGTGGTGAGTCCACCAGTATAAGCAGCCTCCTCTTGTTAGTGAGCAAAATAAAATGAGACACCATGGACAGTCAGCGTCCTACGTGTCGTATGTGGTGATCTCACAGTCCACATAAAGGAATGAAAGGCAAGAATTCATTGGTAATGGCCATGCATTCGGTTGTTCAGTCTTGGATTTTTCACGCGGATATAAAACGCCTCTAACATTTTTCTAGCACCGATGTCGTTTTCGTAGGCTAGAATTTTGCATTTGATTTCAAAATCATTACCCTGATGTCCCTCTACTCGGTGCTTGCCAAGTGGAGTAAGCAGATTTCCGCGCCTTTTTCCTGCCATATGTTCTTTAATGCGCACGCCTAGCATCCTGCCCGTCTCTCCAATATAAAGTTCGTCACAGGTTGAACATTGAAGTTGGTATACTATCCCTCGTTGCGCACAGTCTCCTTGCCTTCCATATGGGCAAACAACGCAGTGATTCGTGGTGCACGCGCGGTCATAGAGTCTGTTGCGGATTAGCTGACGTTTAAGATTGTCTCCTGGTATATTAATCAAAACGACTTCATCAGCTAGATCCGCCCGTGCAATGCACTGCCGTATAGCCATGCTAATTCTATCCGATATGAAAGGCAATTGGAGGTGCGCCATCTCTTCGCGACTCTTCGCGGAACGCCCTCAAGAACCCTCGCGACTTCTCGCGAAGATTCACAAGGGCATTCCGAAGCGATGCCTTCGAATTTGTTCATAGAGATGTAGAATGCGATGCGAAAAATATGTCCGTGAGGTGGAGTCGATCTTGGTGCATGCGCACTTCTCTGATGACCACTAGAGGAAACCTTTTTCGCCGACTCGCTGGTACATCGTTCGACTCGCTGATGCAAAGTTTGATTCGCTGGTGCCAACGTTCGATTCGCTGGCGCAACGTTATAGTTTGCGAATCCGAATCGCTCGATTCGCAAACTATAACGTCGACCTTGCGACGGCATTCGCGAATCGTACACTTAGATGCTTACATTTTCGAAGTTTAGGTAAAATGTCTTCGCTGAAACCCTGTCTACTTTAGAAGGGTAGTGTGCTGATCACGAATGAAGATTCGCGTTTGGAACGGAGTCCACGTGGCGCAAGTTTGACGTCATGGTTTATTCCAATAAATTCGTTTTTTGATGATTTGGATCACAAGAATGAAACCCGTTTTGCCAGCGCAGGTTCACCTTTCACGTTGGAACTCTTCGTTGTAGGCGAAGCAGCAGAGGGCAATAGCTTGCGTACTGACGAGGCGAACCCACAACATACTGCTCATGGTGCGAGAGTCAACCACTGCACTACAGCACCCTCAGAAAATTCATGTTGCGGTTTCGTGTCCCTATATGTGAATGCTCCCACCATCCATATATCCTGATCTCCTTTCGAAGATTCATGGGTAGTTCAAGCCCTGCTTAGAATTACTACAGGAAGAAACGCGTTATTAAAAACCGACCGTGAAAAGAAAATGTTTTTTGCTCACTTTTTACGAGAGAAAGATTCGAACAACTGACCGCTTTGTGGTGTATTTTCCAGTCACACCCATTTTCTTACGGTGATTTTCAGCGTGAAGTGGCCAGCATGCCACCACTTTCGTCGATACCCTCACTCCCCTGCTTGGGTCCACACAATGTAAACTTAATTCGATCGCTGTCAACAAGTTGACCATGACCTCAAAAACTGCCCCGATAATGGCTGCCGCGACGCAACCGCTCACAGCCAACAGAAATTCTGCCCATCTCGGTATTTTGTGGTTATTTCTGATGAAATCGAAAAGAATTAAGGTGATTTATGTTTATCTCTTTGTTTTAGCCAGCTGAAACGCTGGTTGCTGTGTTCATCGAGAATGTAATGTGCTGTAAATAGACTCGTTTTTCAGGTATGTCAGTGTCCTCTGGTAGTTCACTTTGTGGGGATCATGATCAAGATCTGCTGCTAGATGAGGAGGAGGAGATAGACTTCTACGCTATACTAAATGTTCCAAAAGACGTAAGCAATTCACTTCAAGCGTTCGTATTTCTGTTTGCCTCTTGTGAACTCACTTAGAAGGATGCTAAGAGTGGTCCGGTGCCGGACAGCCTGGTCAGCCGTGAGGCTAGGCAATTCAGCGTTTTGTGTGCTGTCTGGGAGCTCTCACACAAGCGCACTATTACAGAATCTCCGCTTTCTTTACCTCCTTCAAAAGGCTTAGTCCCACTACCACAAAGAACGTCTGCTTTTCCTTCTACACTCTCACCCCCTGGTTGACAGAAGCCTTGTAACCGTAAGAGTTGCATTGAGTGATCACTCACTGAGGTTCGTAAGCGTCTTCGTGGTGAAAGTTCCTAGGTTGACTCGAATAAAGCAATGGATAATGGGGGGCAAGCTTCGGTGCGGCAAAGACATTTCTGCTTAGAAGGCAACCTGAATTCAACAATGCGACCCTCGAACTATCGGCCCAAACTTTGATGCAGAGTTGCAATGACTTTCTTGGGCAATCCAACGGCATTCTGTCTCTCGGTATGTTAATTTCTTAAGTGTGGGAAATAGTGATCCTTACATACATCTAGGCGTTGACTACATGATGCAATACTTCTGATGTTGTTTTTGTCGTTTTTTTTTATAAATTCGATAGCGTTCAGAGATGCCTGGGTAAACGAGTTATGGGGTCCTGGGTCAATTGCGGCAGGAGGGAGGCGGGGGGGGCGAGGGTGGTCGATCCTGATGCCCCTTCTCGGGCGACACTAGTGTTGAAGCTTCGACACATTCCACCTTTTCACGCAGGTCGCAAGTGAGCGCCGCTCACGCCGCAGGTCTAATGAGACTACTTGCAACGTCAGCCCTTCCAAACGGCCACTATGTTCCTTTCATGGTCCCTCTACTCTCCACTGCTTAGTTCCGATGGGCCACTCACCCATGCTGCTAATCGGCGCACTCTAGGCCATCGCGGCCGGACTTGATAAGAAAAGCAAGTGAGTCGTCAAAACCCTCAACGCCTCCCGCTCTCCACCCCCCTGCACTGACTACACTCTCCCTGGCTCGGAGTTACCCTAGCTTCCCGGAAAAACTGCATCATGATGCTCCTCACCGCTGATTGGAATAGACCCCGAGTTATGCATCACCTATCCATCAATCAACTGGAATTTGTAATATTTTTAGTGCTTTAATATATACATGTGCACTTGAGCGAAAATTCGTGATATTACCACCATCTTTTATTGGGAATCGAATCGAAGTTAATGAGAAGGCCGTTCGGGTGATGGCAGAAGTTCGGCGCTCTACCAGTAATGGGGGTATCTGGCGTAATTACTGGTGCTACTTGTCCAATTTTCCGCAATGGAAGGAACGTCTGAGGTGCGTGTAAGTGAAAGCGAAGCGTCCACGCACCTTGAGGATTCATCCCCTTACGAACAACTGAATTGCTTCAGAGAACTAAATTTTACACCGCAATGCCTACCCCCCCCCTCCTCTCTCTTACTGCCCCTACTGGAAGAGCGACGTAAATTACGCCCAGTTTCAATGAAAAGGGCAGCTTAGTGTTCTGTTTGTTTCTTCGAAAAATTCATAAGTACTCTCTAAGTTGAATTGATTTGATATTTGGAGTTAACCAAAGTTTGCAGGCAACAGAGGATGAAATAAACAAAGCATATCGAAAACGTTGTCTTATATTTCATCCCGATCGACACAATGACGAAGATGACAAAAAAGAAGCCGAGAAAATTTTTGTGCAACTTCGCCGTGCTCACGAAAGTACGTCAATCTTTTACATATTTCATTTTATATTACTCCTGTGCGTACTTAACATATTTGTTGCAGCTCTTACTACTTTGATGAGACTTTTGGATTGAAAAATACTTGGCTGATCATTCTTCCCTGGTACAATTACATTTTGCAGCCCTGTTGGATCCGAAAAAGCGAGCCATTTACGATGCTCTTGGCGTACAAGGCCTCGATACACAAGGATGGGAGCTTGTGTCAAGATCGGCGAATCCTGAGAACATCAGGCGAGAGTACGATTTCTTGCAAAGGTTGAAGGAGCAAGAGCTCATGTTGCAGAGGATACATCCGTCTGTAAGTATGCTAGATTCATTTTTTGTACTTTATGATCACTTTACTGCTCTTATCTTGTTTAGAGTGGATTTGTTGTGAAGACATCATGTGCAGGTTTATTTCCGGAGGATCCAGACGATAGGTATTCGAGTTCGTAGCGTCTGCTTGTTTTTACATCCAATGAAAGTAGTGATACTGTTGTCTTATTGTAAAAGTGCAACTGGTTTCGTCATGGTGATGCAGTAACAGTATCCTATGACCGGTGTCATACTCAGCAAATCTAGCCTATGACGGTATGCGAGCGATGCACAAGGGGTTAGGTGCACCAGCGACTCGACAATGTGGGTGACTGGCGAGAGTATCTCTTTCGCACGTTTACTCTCGCCTAATTCCCAGGTGGCGATGATAGAGAGCTTGGGAAAGTGCCGAAAGTTAACGTGCGCATGAGAGGGACTCCCGCCATCTCACACTGTCGAGTCGCTGATGCATCATTCAAACCACTGGCGCATCACTTGTACCCCGCGGTTCGCTGAATATGCGAAGTCTGACAGTGGTCTATCGTAGGCTTGTAGTTAAGTAAAATGTATGGAGGGCGAGGGGTCTTATAAGGCTTATTGCATTATTCCTTGAGTGTATCTTCTTCCATATAACTGTTCCTGTTTGCTTTTCTAGAGGACTGAACTGGGTGCTGGTTTTTCTTTACTTCGGAAATGGCTTCCCTAATGCAGTTGTGGTTGCCCACAGTTTTGCAGTGACGTTCTATACACATTATCCAGTGGTTTGGACGAGAAGGAAGGAGAAGAGTAGTGGAAAACAAAATGCGATTAAGGGCGCATATCACTACTTTCTTGTAATGAAAGCTCTCTTCTAAAAGACGTCGTTTTCTGGAAGAATATTGTTTTGATAATTCATTTCGTTATAGGTACCCTCCACAACTTATTGGAATATCTATTACCCAATCAGTGGATTGTGCGATGACAGAGGCAGACCGAATTGGACTTGTCGGTAGGGTCAAAACTGGTAATGGACGAGGCGATGGTAATGTTTCCCTTCTGTGGAAGAAGAACGCAGGAAAATTTCACATCGAGGTAATTATTTTCATGGTATTGGAGGGAGCGCAGAAATATGGAGGAAGAAAGTGACGAGATTTTCACTATTCCAGAACACGCTTACCGCATCTAGTGATGTG